CGCGAGTGCGTTGCAGCAGATTGCAGCATTGAGCAACCAGCTGGCGCGTTCCAGAGAAACATGGAGCCTCCCAACCCCCTTCCTCCGGCCCATAGCAACAGGCGGCGCGCCGTCTTGCGCGTTGCACGATTACGCACTGGCCTACTGATTACACCAGGCTGCGGTGACATCACCCTATCAGGCCCGCCAACAACGCGCCAGTATCAAGACAATTGAACACAAAGCAAACGCTAATGACTCCTGATTAGTCAATCAATCCTAAAGGCAGGGAATCAGCCAAACATACCAAGCAAGATTTCCTGAAACATTGAATGATGCCTGCAATGCTGACTTCAACACAAGCTGCCCCATGCTGCCCGCCCATGCAGCCTCAAATCGGCCGCCCACGGCGGGCCACTCGCCACTTGTCACGCCAAGGAGATGCCTCTGGCACAGAAAACCATAAATGTACACACTGATCACCTGAGCACATGATGTGAAGACACACTGCTGGCGCGTATGTAGCTGTCGCCTGCCAGGTGACGGCCCGCCAAAGGCAAAAGGAGTGCCAAGCTGCCAACAAAGCAAAGCAGCAAAGCAGTGCCGACGTTGCGCGACCGACAGCCGGCCGCTGTGAGGAGCCGCGGCCAGTGGCCTGGCTGCCGAGGAACGCTGTGCGCCATCAGCGCACATCAAGGCGGGCGCGCCCACCCTTTCAGCAAACTGCCAGACCCGCCACCACACTTATTGCCTGTCCGACGGCTCCTGGCAGCAGGGAGCCCTGGCCTCCTTTGAAGAGTCTTGGCCCGCCCAAACTGCCACTGTCTGAGAGAGCGCCGCACAACTGAACTGCCCTGGTGCCCCTCCCACGCCGCCGTCGCGAACTGCACCGCTGGCTCCAGCCGCTCACGGTCCGGCGGCTGGACGCGCTGACGGGGACACCCCGGCGCGCGAATCGACGGACCGTTGCTCACTCCTCAAAGCACGCCAGCACTGCCTCCCTGATGGGGCCAGACAGCCCCTCTTTGTCAAACTCGGCCGCCGCGGCAGCGCGGGTGGCACAGGCCTCGCTCAGCTGCCCCAGCAGTTTGTACAAGCCATACACGGACGGCACGATGTCGCGCGCAGGGGTCTCGGGGGCCGCGCTGCCGCTCGTGTGCTGCTGCTGCTGCTGCCGCTGCTGCTGCTGCTGCTGCTGCTGCTGCTGCTGCTGCTGCTGCTGCTGCTGCTGCTGCTGCTGCTGCTGCTGCTGCTGCTGCTGCTGCTGCTGCTGCTGCTGCTGCTGCTGCCGCCGCTGCCGCTGCTGCTGCTGGGTCGCAGCGTCCAGCCCCCCGCCCTCGCCCGCCGCGGCCTCGTCCAGGAGATCGTCCCTGCGCGCCTGCTCCTCGGCCACCCGCCGCCGCTCAGCAATCGATGCAGAGCACCTCATCCTCACAGCCCTCACGCGACTGATCGGCGCGCTCCCAGGCCGCCGCGTCGGATGGCACCAGTTGCCGGGCGCAGAGCCTCCCGAACATGCTGCTTGCGGAAAAGGCCCCGACGGGGGCGGCGACGGGGTGGATGGGCCCCGCCGAGCGCGGGAACGCGGGGTGGCCGGCGTAGGTAGTCATCGCCCTGAGTGATAGGATAGGACAAGACAGGATTGTTGCAGCGTCCCGCGGTCGCCCGCTTCGTTTTGGAGCAATCCAGGCTCATGGGATTTGACTTGCAGCATCAACTAACTTTGCGACTGAGATGCAGGCGGCTGCCGTGCGCCAATTAAAGGAGGCGTGCGCGAAAGCCCCAAGTGCGTGCGAGCTGGCCTGCACCTGTAGAGGTCGGCGACGCACACCCGGGTGGCCCTTCTGTACGGCTTGGCGAGCCAGGTGGCACGCCCATAGTAGCCCAGGACGACGCGCGGCGCCGACCACGGGCCGCTCCACTGGACAGGCATGGCCTCGAGGGTCTCAGGGTGCATGAGGAAGACGAAGGGGCACGCCCCGCTGACGTCACCGGCGTCCATCACAAGGGGGCTGCGCGCCACGATGGCACGCCAGTGGGCCCTGCGGGCCGGCAGGGGGGAAGGAGGGGGAGCGGGTGTCGAGAACACATGCGGCCAGATCTCAACTGACGAGCGGCACGCGGGCGCGCGGCCGGTCCACCAACGTGATGCGCGCTCGCGTGGCTGGTGCTGACACCTAAGCTTGTGTCGTCACAGTGCTTGCGCAAAAGTACGCACAACCGCTGGCTGGTCGGCAAGCTGACGCAACACCGCGGCGAGCGAGGCTCGCCCCGCCCAAACTCACGCCGCATACTCCTTGTGCACCAGCAGGACGCACAGGGGCGCCGCCAGGTGGCCAAACTCTGCCATGACCCGTTCCCATGTTGTGCCAGCGACCAGAAACATACTTCAGGATGTGTGCATGTGTGTGTAGGGGGGGTATTTGGGGATTTGAAGGGAAGGGGGCGTGCATAAGTTGCAGTACGAGAGGCCACACTCGCTGCAACGTACTCCTGCGGCCGCCGCAGGGGGCCGGCCTGCCAGGGCGTCCCCTGCTTATGGTGTGCACGAGCACAACTGGTATGACCGCGCACAGCGTCAAAGCGGGCCGCTGGACAGTCTGATATGGTGCCACGCTGCATGGCGGGTGCTCTGTCCACCCCTACCGACTCCCACTCGCTCACGTTCCCGTTGCCATGAGGCTGAGCATCGACACATATCCCGGTGGGCACTCCCACGGGCGCCCCACGATCCTGTGAAAAGCCTCAGTCAGTACCTCCGCAGATGTGAACTCCAAGATGTCGGCGGTGGCTGTTGTGGTCCGCATCGCTGCGGTCAGGAATGCCGTGAGGCAGGCATCATCCAACGGCTTGCGGGGCCTGCAGCTGCGGCCCGCAAGCAGCGCATCGCCTGGCGCCATGGACGCCACGTGGGGCGTCATGAGGAACAGCGGCAGGAAGTCCAGCGGCTGCTCGATGTACGCCCGGGGGCCGATTACAGGCACGGGGCTGGCAGCCGTGGCATCCTGGTGCGCAGGCTGCAGAGGTGGCGGCGGCTGGCTGTCCTCTTGGGGCCTCTCGCGCGGCACCATAGCCGATCAAGTCGGTGTATTAAATGCAAAAGGCTGTACCGCAGCGTGGCTGGGAAGGGGAGCACAAAACGATTCGGCCCGGCCGACCCAGTCACTATATTATGTCATATAGGCTGCAAACCGCGTCACAAAATCAATCAGTCAGTCGGGCATAAGAAAAACCGCATTGCGCGTGCTGTGCTGTGCTACGTCGTGCTGTGAGCTAGATCACCTCGGAGCAGCCGTACCGATATTCGTCCGCCACAGGGGCTCGTGGCAATGGAGGCAGATGGCGTGGCGTCGCCACAGCACAGACAGAAGTACCTGGCTTGGGCAGACCCTGTATCGGGGCAACCGGTGCGGCAGCATGCGGGGGCGGCGGCGCCCAACCCTGAGGTCATGGAGAGGATGGCCGCAATAGTCGCAGAATACGGGGCCATGGCGCCTCCTAGCCCGCCACGCGGTCCAGACGGGCATGCTGCGGTCCTGGAGGCGCCGGTGCCGTTTGCAGCAGGCGACCGGCTGCCCAAAACAGACACGCTGGACTAGATGGTGGACCCAGCCCCTCTGCCAAGGGCGGTCGACGTTCTGCAGCGAACGTGGGAGGCGTTCCGTGGCTCGCCGCAGTTCCAGGAGCTCATGAGCGTTTTCCCTTGCGCATCAGCGGCTGCTGCAGGAGCGCGAGCAGCGGCAGCGGCACGGTAGAGGCAGCGGGAGCGGCACAGGCCCCAGCAGGCCCTTCCTTAGCGCACATCACCTCTCAATGATGAAGCAAATCCTTCATCAGTGCCTGGAGCGATGCCACTCCCGCGGCCATGACTCCGCCATCACTGCTCAGGGCGACAGCGCGGCGGGGAGCAGCGGCGCGAGCAGGCAGGCTGGCACGGCCGGCGCTGCGGACGTCGGCGGCGCGAGCAGTGGCCGCATCAGCAGCAGCAGCAGCAGCAGCAGCAGCAGCAGCAGCAGCAGCAGCAGCAGCAGCAGCAGCGGGGCAGACGACACTGAATCGAGCGAGGACGATATGGCCATCATCGCAGGCACGGCAGAGAGGCGGGCCCAGCTTGGCGTCACCGCTGAAGCCGCTGGGCCGTCGGACGCAAGCAACGACGAGAGGACCGCAGCAGACTTTGAGGCCGCCAACCGGATTGCACTGGCTGGATTCCAGGCACTGATCCGCGTCGTCCGCCGCGACGGAGGTGGGAGCAGGGGAAGGGGGGGTTTGAGGCACGGCGCGCACCCATCTCGGCGCCGCGCCGTTCGCCTGGCATAGTAGTGTGGCGGCGCGGCACATGGGCATGCGTTTAGTCAGCTGGAGCCCGCAACCATGCATGAAACTCAGGTGCGTGACACGCCATGCCTCTTCCCCCGCAACCTGCATTCCTCACAGGGGCCTCCCAGGCGCCCCCCTGAGCCATTCAAGGCGACCGCAGGCCCCTCCGATCTCCCGTAAGACACGGGCGGCAGCAGCATGGGCGACAGCAGCAGGCTCGGTGCCTCCTTCTGCGTGATTTGGGGTGACAGCCGACTGCCCCACGGCATGTTGGTTTTGCGCATCTGTGCCTGAGTGAGCTAGCATTCTAGATAGGAGCAGGATTTGCCAGTGTAGTCATTTGCTGCACATCCCTCGATGATGAGACTTTGACAGTACAGCATACAATATTTGGGGTTGGGTATGTTCAGGTTTCACAAGCAGAGGATTGGCTGTCCCCCCTGTGCAAGGCAACCTGCCCGTGCGCACGGATGGTTTGCTTGGGCGGGCACGCATGCGTGCCCGCCTATCTAGGAGCTGCCCAATGAGCTGGCTGCGGTGTAGCGCCGCATCACACGTTGGGAGCAGCTTGCAAATGAAAGAGGGCACTGTCACATACGATGTCGAATGCAGCGCCAGCAAAGGACACATGAAATACAGCCCACCCGCCCGCCGCTGCCCGCGTCAAACCAGCCTTGCGTCAGCCACTTCTGGGCGCCACGGCCTTGCTCTGCCAGCAGGCCATCGTCGTTGCCGGTTGACGGTGCCAGGGGCAATCGAGCAGAACTCGCAAGCGCACTTGGTCTCAAGCCAGGTGCGGCACCTCTGTCAATGTGGCCTCTGGCAGACCGGCGGTCTGGCAGACCAGCGGTCCAGCAGCTGAGAGGAAGGGCCAGCAAGGGCCCAGGCACAGCCTCTCATTGGTAAGCTCGCAGCAGGGGCGAGGGCGCACTTGACTTACGTTTCTGTGTTGGTCAACGTTCGGCCAGTGGTTGGGAGTGCAGGTGCACGTGCCCAATGCGGTGTGTGGCGGCCCAGCGCGGCCCTGGCAGGAAAGGGCGGTACAGGGGCTCCTCTGTGGCTGCGCGCCCCGGGGCGGGCGGGGAGTGGGGGCGTGGAGCGGGGGGTGAGGCCGCACCCGTGCGAGCAGCTGCAGCGTGCACGTGTCCGCAAATTCTGTGCCAGCACGTGCGTAAACAACCAGGGCTCCAAGCTGGGGGCTGGCCGGAGGCGGCGGCATGGTTTTGGGATTCGCAGTCTCGAGAGTGCGCTGCGAGCAGCGGGGGGGAAGGGCGGGCGGTGCCCCTCCCGCTGCTGTACCTCACAACATTCTGCCCATACGATCTGGTGGCCTTCTTCCCTCATATCCTTTCCTCCGCTCCCACCCAGTCCCGCATGCGGTGCTGCACCCAACGCTGTGCGCATGCCCGGGGCCGGAAGACGGCGCAGCCCTTCAGAAGGCCGCTGCCCTCACGGCGCTGGTTGCGGCCGCGCGGGGCGAGGGTGCTGGCGGGGTTTGGGCTATCTCATGGTGCAGGGCGACGGCTGGCCCCACGCGGTACCTGGGTGCGAATTGTCCCATCAGGGCGTCGGCGCGCGGTGAGAGCGCCGCCCGCACCGCGCGCTGCTGGTGCCGGTGCCTGCGACTCACCGCCCGCCTCAGCTCGTGCCTGTACAGTAGGGCATGCCCGTACTTCGTGTTGGCACGTGCTTTGCTGCGTGCATGCCTGTCCTCCATCGTCTTGTGGGATGTTGTGCGTGAGTAAAGTGTGTGCATCACATTCAGATATGAGCGGGTGCAGATATTTTCTCTGTGTCTGCCAATCCGGTATTGCTGTGGGTAAGGAGAGCGCCACTTCTGAGTTAGGAGCAACCTAGTCTGAATGTGCTTGTCTTGCTGTCTGGAGTGTCATGTTGTCAACCCACAGTGATTTACCAGGTGTCTCTTTCCGGTGTAACTTGCTGGTCTGCGTCTGCACAAAGTCGGGATCGCCCCCGTTGGCCTGTGCGGTTCTGTAGAGTCTTTTCACAGGAATAGGCTCACCGCACTGCATGTGCTCACACGCGCTCGCAAGTGCATTGCAGCCGAGGAGCAGCACCTCAATCACGCGCGGGAGAGTGGGTGGATCTCCACTTCGACACTCAAGCACTCGCCTCGGAAGACTCGGCTCATTAATTCCTGGCGTAGTTGCTGGGCCGCGAGGCGGAGGTGGGCCTGCGGAGCGGCTCGTCCTGCGCACCCAGACATAGAGATGTGTAGGGACACGTGACCTTTGATATTTTGTGGGAAGCCACTTTCAGCCATGTGATCCCTTCCTTGTGTGTAGCAAGTGTCACGCTGTGAAGCTCCGGAAGCCCCACCGACCCCTGGGCATGCCGTACTGCACCTGCTCCGCCGCGCGCCTTCAGGCAGCGATGGGCAAGTGCACAGCCGTGGACACCGGCGTCAGGTGCCTGCGAGACATGCAGGGGCGCTGCGACCTGTGCGGAGGTGCGTAGAGTGCACGGCAGCACGCAAGGGCACATGCGGGGCTTGGTGGCGCAAGATGGCCACGCTTTCCGTTTGCCTGACTGTTCCCACTGCGCAGCGGAATCCAGCTCCCCTGTCATCCACTCAGTCCTCCCTCAACGCCCTTGCGCGCTCTTCACCCGCAAAGCGCAGATGACTGCTACCCCAATGACGAGGTGCGCCCCGTGAGCCGCGCCCCCTGCTCGCCGCCGGACTCACGCACGCCCGACCGCCTGCTGTGTGCCCCTCAAAACCAGCGGGCGGCCCTGGCGCGGCAGCCACCGCTGCGGCCGCCGCCACCGCGACGCTCTCTCCCCCCTCCTGCATGCGTGCATGCGCAGGTCTGCGTGGTGCTCACATGCATCTACTCTGTCTGCAAGGAGGTATCAGGCAACATTTTCCACCAGGGCTGGTGAGGGCAGGCC